CCTTAGAGTGTAGAAAAATTTACTGTTGAGTTTGCAAGATTCCTATTGGCGCCCACATCGCTCAATACTTTGCAATGTCTGCTGCTGGATGGTTGTAAGTCATTTTCAATTATCGCGCTTTTTCTGCACTATATCCAGAGAGGAAATTTTTTTATCTCTTAAATTGCTATGCTCTTCTATTTTGGGTCCCATTTCTGGGCAGGATGACGTAGTGCCATCGGCTATCGCAAATCTGTCGCCGTCAAACAAAGATGTTCACGAAAACACGATATGTAAAGGGGCAAAAGTAGCTCTGGTGCCAAATTTCCGTGACGAAATGGGGAGCTAAAAGCGCTCAGTAATTTAACAACTTAGATGTACTCGGAGACACAACCGATCACAATACCTCAAGCCAGGTAAATGCTACTTCCGGTGGCCAAACGAGCTCTTAACCCCTACTTTCATTTTGGGTACATATTTTGCGGGTTGCTGTACTTAAAACAATAATTAATTGCAAATTCTAGCTACAAATATATTTCGAAGTACCTCCCACCCGCTCTATTCACCATAAATACTGTACTTCTTGATAAAAAATTAACGAAAGTTCTGCTGAATCTTAATCCAAATCCCATGATATCCTCACTCGCAAAGATGAGCTACTATTCCTGTGAAATCAAAATAAAACTCACAGCAGAGCTTCGAGTGTTGGTTTTGAAGTGAGGTTAAAGAATGAAACAGAGTCACTCTTCTGAATTTGCATTTTAAATCAGCAATTTCCGCAAAAACTTTTTGCCCTGCATAATTTTTCAAAAATTGGCATTCATTTGTGGAAAGTTCGAACCCATTCACAACAATGCAAAGTCACAAAGTTTGACTTTTGACATTGAATGTCAGGTTTTCGCGAAAATACAAAAATAAAAGTTTTTTACGTCTTAAGTAGAATCGAATCCCGCTATGCAAATCGGAATATTACCTTGTAAGAACTTTGCACAAAAATTTTGGCTGCACCATACTCCAAAATTATTGCGACACAAATCAAAATAAAAAACCTTGGATATTGCAAGAGTTCTATCTCCACCATTCTCCAAAAGCAAAAGTACAGATAACCCCATCTGAGTCATAGCTTAGCAAGTGCAGCTTACGCAGAAACCGGATGTGCAGGCTTCCGGAACTGAATTAACATCAGTATAGGAAGGTAACGGTGAGTATTCAGTAGCTTAAAAAAATACGATGAAGGTTTAGTGATGCACTCACGACACTTGCATACCCCAGGAAAGAACTAGGGACTGAACTGCAGAATAGAATATTCTAAGTGCGCATTCAAAAAATAATGAAATTTACTGAAGCGAGAAATACATTTATTGGTGGATTTTCATGAGGAACTCTTTGTTGTTGTAGGCCATTTGTTGTTGTAAGCCACTTGTTGTATCTGCTTTGTTTTCTAACTTGCATCAGTAGATATATCAACTTACAAATGATTTCTGGGGATAGTAAATACGAAAAAGATATTGGGTTTGGGCTCAAAACGAATGGAGTGCGATTTTATATATAAAGAATCGTAAGGTGCATTCGAAAATCATTAGATGGCGGGAAACCGAGCGGGTCCCGAAGCGAGCGCGCCTGCAACTAACATCTTTGAAATTACTGGTTCACTAGTCTAAAGGATATTATGCAGTTTTTCTTTTCTGAAAAAGGTGCAGAAGAAAAAAGGTGTGATTTAGGCCATTCTTAGGAACTTTCTAATACTCAGTAGCATCGTATAATTTAAGGTTGGAATCGGCACAAGTCCCAGACAAAAACAAATTCGCATCCTCAAATTTGGAGGCGGAAGAAGATCGCGATATCGCGGAGACAAATCGCACCTAGTAGTGCCGCGAGCTCACGTTTAGAAAAAATGCGGTGCGAATGGTGTACACATTTGGGAATTAACGAATGATCTGACAAGCTAATGAACATGTGTACGGCTCGTCCAGGGCGGTAATCAACCACACGTATGGATTTGTCTTTCATGTGTGTTCATCACTATGATGCCAATAATCCAGATTGCCCTTTTGGCCCAGCTACTGGCCCAAAGCCAGCGCATGAAAATGGAAAAGAGTCATGAAAGAAAATCCAGCTAGCAATCGTTCAACTAGGCGAACGCTGTTGCTGCATGCAAAAATCTATTAGAGACTAACGAGAAACGCTGAAAAATTACACATCTACATTCAAATCTGGCCAGGGAAGCAGAGTAGCTCCCCGTTAGCTAGCCCTTATTGGGATACAAATCATATTGTTGAGAAAACGTTGAATCGGGGCAGCTTTTTCTAGCGCTCGCATATGCAACTTGCGAACTGCAGAATTTTGTTATGCGCATTTGCGCTAAATGGCACGCAAATTGTGTAGAAATGAGAAAATTAGATGAAACAGTGGAAGAAACGGGTTCAGGAAGGCACGTTTGCGGGGGCCACCCCGGCACTATACACAACTCATCTGACGCATCTATGGCCCTATAGTAGGCGTGGGTGGCGAACAGAAAATGGATTTAGGAAAAAAACTATACGAGAAAATCAGGAGAGATATTCACGCATCACTTCGGAGCGAAATGTGCCGAATGAATATTGCAACTCTGCGCGCTTTGCTCTTATCTGAAATCAACATCGTTGCAGGAGTGAAGTTTTTTTGAGCAAAGACTCAATTAATCCCAGCTCTTACTCTTGGCTTAGAAACGCGAACTAATCTAAATCTCGGAAAGTTTTGCGAAACACGGCTAAACCCAGAAAATACATAAATTACTCGCAGGTTTGCAGCGTGCCTTACGAGCGGGGCAAATAGACTCTCAAGTGTAAATTATTATGTACATTGCCCTGGTCGCTACTTAAAAGCCACATCCGAGAGCTGAATGATGGAATATGACGTGAAAGTATTCTTAGACCAAATTAGCTTCCAGGGTTTTTCAATTTTTTGGGATGGGATAGCGCTGGTTGGCTTGCCATATGGAAAAAATCGCCTGTGCCCAGCACCAAAAACTTGTCCTTTAAAAAGTATAAAATGCGGGAACGTGATAAAATCCAAAGAAACTGAATATAATTTCAAAAAGCGAAACGCTGGTACGAAGTGAAGGAGAGCAAATTGCGCATAACTACTATGTCAGCACATCGAGAAAATGGATTTCAGTCATTGCCTATGTCCATATCCATTAGAAAACGCCTATATACTCTTAATGCTGAATTAAGAGTTTCGAAGACCAGTGTGGTCCTGGCAAGAGTTGTGATGCTGTAGAAGGTTGAAATAGGAAATTTTCGAGAAGCAATGATGGCTTTACAGTATCGTCAGTGCAACGGTGACACTATAAAATTTGAGAGAATACATGCCCGAGGTTATGCATGGGGCTTTAAAAATAAAAAAGGTAAGTCTGCAAAAGCTTGATTTTTGACTTCGAAGTTATGCGATATTTGAGAAATCAAAAGAACATGGGATATATGTACTCCTAATGAGGCTTCTCTGCAAATATGACGACACACGAACTCTTGATACAAAAAGAGACAGAAATAGAAAAGGGTCGTTTCAGCAGTGCTTTGATGGGCTAGGGCCGAGATCAAAATCAAAAAATCGAACTAGGCTCATCTATAGGATTTTAGGGTCATGCTACATAATATTCTCTGCGCCTGAATTATCGCCTTGATTAGAGGCTGATGATTAAGTTTTCTTTTGCTGTTATCATACTTGAATGCTCAAATGTTTAAATAGGTAGATGTCGGTGGCGAACGGAGGGGGGGGGGGGGCGAGGGGGAGGGAGGTTGTGAAAAAAATTAACTGGGTGCGCGACTGCCACCACGGTCCTTTTCCTAAACGGGGTCATGGCCCCCGCAAAACTTCTGAAAAGCATCCAAGAAAATTTTCGCAACTGCTCCCGCAAACGAAAATCCTGGGACCGCCACCGGTATTTAGATATATGAAAATTCCGAGAGCGTCTTATACAAAGCGGTTCGATTCCAAGCTTCGAAAAAAGCAATGGAGTGACTCTTGCAACTTTTAATGCCCTTGATAGAAGATGACAATGATGATGATGATGATTATCAGCTTAAAGTTGTGCGCAATAGGGTCTAGGATTGCACTCGCGTCAACTTCTCCATAATAGCATATCCCATTACTAATCTGTTAAATCTATTCTCAGATTTCAGCTCGGGGTCGTGATATCTAAACAATCCGATCAGCTTTGAATTGTGAAAAACATCACGAGCCCGGTACGAATTGACACCAAGAAATTTTCGGTACACACTTTTCCGAATTTTTAATCACAAAATATCTATGAAGTCTGTTAGATGTCAAATTCGTAGAAATGCCGTTACTCATGATCCGTTCGTCTCTATGGGGCGCACTAATGTGGCTAAGAGCAGAATTGCTTCGCTATTCGCAATGTTCAAATGCTCTAAGATAGAGTAGAAGAGGTGGACTGGAGCCGTATTGATGATAATATGTAGCTTTTTGGCAACAGATCAATATGCATGAGCTGAAGAGTCATATGTAAGGAATGAAAGTAGCTCGGCTGGCACACGTCTGGCACGTTACCACCTAGTTTGGAAACGATATTGACACTGCGTATTTACATGAATTTACAAAAATTCGTTGTGCATAATTCGACGCCTCCTACGCACACCGAATCTGATGTCATACCAGACTGCTTGTGAACAACGCATCTATTTTCTAAAGCACAAGTTTTTTTCTGCGTGTTTTGGCTGTTTGTTACGTTTCCTCATATTGTTCGCGGAAAATTATTGTCTGATAATTCTCATGTGTCCACAATCGGTCTCTACTGCAGAGTTCCCCTCGCTGCCTAACCGCACCCGAGTGGGACTCTGCAATAGAGACAGACTGTAGATCGCCTGTCTACAGGTTGTGTGCAGGCCCAGCATTTTTCCGCTAGCTTCGAAAACGGGTACAACAACTTCGACTCCTTAGCTTTCAGAGCATCCAGCTGTCCTCACTCAAATGTAAAATTGCAGTTATTTCAGTTTTATCAAAAATAAACAAAGATTTAACATTTTATTAACGAAAATATACCATCATTTGCAACAAAGAAGCAAACTAGTACCGTTATATACAAGGTTTGTGTTCTGTAAGCGAAGAACAGAAAAGATCTCTTTCATAATTTTTGATCTGTACTGAGATTGTCGGCGGAGCCCTTCTCCTTCACTCGTGGCACTCGATCTATAAATCACGACTTAGAATTCGAAATAATTGTTACAATAGTTGGGTTGAAATTAATGGCACATTGTGAAGAGTGACTCGCATTTGGTTAAAAGCTTTTACACAATAGAGATACATATAATGTACGTATTTTGCAAAAATTACTACTTTCATTTGGCAGCCTAGCTGCATAGTGCAGTCAGCAAACTAAAATTTATCAGTTTTCTAATGATGACTCACCAATGAAAAGAGAATGTGTATGCGTTAGTACCTGAGCATCACATTTTACGCAGTTCTTCAACTACTCAGAAAATCGCCGGCGGCAGGCGACCATGAGATTTATGGGCAGGCGGGCACCGGAAAGATAGTTCGCTGATTTCTTGCGTTCCGCTTGCAGATATATGGAAGAATGTAGGCGAAGATTTAGACGAATGCTTGGAGAACCATTGCGGCTTCTTTGTAGATTGATTGCGACGCACTCAGATAATCGCTGGGGTAAGCGGCCATGCGATTTTTGGGCAGGCGGGCAAAAAATAGTCCGCTGATTTCTTGCGGTCCGCTTGCAGATACTTGGTAGGATTTTAGCGAAATTTTAGAAGAATGCTTGAAGAACAATCGCAGTTTCCTTATAAATTAACTGCGGTGCAGTGGCCGCATTCTCGCGGACTTTCCGCGAGAATATGCAAAGTTTTCGAGGGCCGCACGATCCTTTGTGGAGGACCGCGCAGCCCCCAGGCACTTTCCGCTGGGAGAAAGTACCTCAAACTTGAGTAATTAAACCATCGATAACACCTCTGCCACATAGTTTCATCTTTACTCGGCATATGCCCGAAACTGCGTTAGAAGAGTCCCAGCGCTTGCTGAAAGAAATTATTTGCCGAGCGCTTGCGGAAAATGCTGTATTGTTGCCCGCTGGCAGAATATGCGACCGTAAAGGAAGTGCCGCCCGCTGAAGGTTTGGCCACGCCCCAAAATTCTGCTGACCGCCTGCAGAAAAACGCGAGTTTGCGGACCGCCCGGACAGTTTGCCCCGGCGATTACCTGAGCAGTGGCCGCATTCGCGCGGACTTTCCGCGGGAATATGCAAAATTATTGGGGGCCGCATGATCCTTTGGTGAAGGACCGCACAGCCCGTAGGTACCTTCCGTTGGGAGAAAGTACCCCAAACTCGGGTAATCAAACCGTGATCGCACTTCTGTTATGTAGAGCGTACTTTTGCTAGGCGTACGCCCGAAACTGCGTAAAAAGAGTCCGAGCGCCTACTGAAAGTTTGGCAGCATTTGCAGGAAGTCTTGTAGTTGCCCGCTGGCAGAACATGCAAGTACCGCTCGCTGAAGGTTTAATCACGCCCCAAAATTTTGCTGACAGCTTGCAGAAAAGCGCGAGTTTGCGGACGCTTGCCCCGGCGATCTGAGTATTGCCTTGAAGGCAGTGCCTGAGCAAATTACACGGTTGTGAGATTTTGCTCCAATATTGGAGGAGGCTTCAGGATCAGAATCTCATGATCTTCAGGTCCAGGCTTTTCGTGAGGCGAAGCTTTTTAACACGTCACCTTATTCTTGATGTGGATCGGGTTATAAGAAAAAAATCATTTCCTGCAAGGCTTTCTTTATTCAAAAACTGAAGATTATCCGCGGTTCGATAGTTAACGTTGCAAATTGTGTTAGGTTGCTATTCTTTTCATCCTACATACGTTCTGTTATGTTTTCTTACTGTCATCCCCATGTGACCAACGAAATGAATTGTTCTAGCAGGAGGCCACTTGATTGAATAATTACCCAATATAGCTTTGGAGTATTCCGAATTTCTCCAGAATACTCGAATGCATTCAAAAATCAGAAATATCGAATAATCAAAATGCAAGTATTTTCAAAAACCAAAAATGTCGAACATCCGAATATCGAATATTATCCGGAACCTACAAAACCGAACAATCGCATATCGAATATTTTCAGCTAAAAAGTGTCGAAGAATATTATCGAATATTTTCAGGATAAAAAATTCCGAATAGTTGAATACACTAAAAAAGGACAAAATTCGAATAGTCTATTTTGCACCGATTTTATCGAATCTTAAAACAAAAAACTTGGTCAAATCGGCACAGTGAAAGACTCTATGTAGTATGTGTTAGACAAACAATATCTGCTGATATAGCAGTCAAAAATATGATGCAGATATCGAGCCAACAGGAAGACCCAGTTCCGATCAGTCCCTGTCATAACACGACAAAGGTCACCGTTTCAACCTATACACTAATTTCCTGTTCCCACTTTCAAGAAAACGAACTCAGCAATTGAAGCATGCTCAGTTACGACAAAACCAACTCTATCTTTGGTTAAAGCTTGCGAGAAATCTTAAAATTCCTGCACCTCCCCCATCGTTAAGAACGAAAATCAGTGAGTGGAACATGTCCAGTTACGATAAAACCGACATCTACCTCTGCTCATTGCAAAAAATTGTTAAGATCAGTAAGACACCATTCCCCGTCCAACTCCCCCTGCTCAGCGGCATGCTCACTGAATACGTGATTCTCGCGGAGAAGGAAAAGGGAAAAAACCTTAGATCCTGAACTTTAAAATCTGATTTTACGCTGTCCCTTATTCCTATCACACTCTACTAGTATAAAATCAAAGCTCATTGTTCTACAAGCTGCGTTATCCAGCTTTTCGTATGCTCCAAAGTCAAAATTTTGATTAGAACGCTTGTGCAAGAATTCGACTGGAAAATTTTGAGTCGTTGTGGGTTATTGGTGAAGTGTATATTAAGAGGGGCAAACAAGCTTTATGCTGCTTAAAAAATAGCGTGGAGGGTAATCAGCGGGGAGCATTTGTTCTTATTGTTAGATGACATAAGAGTTCCCTGAAAGGACCCACTGGTTTTTTCAATCTCATAGTCGATGATGGCATAAAGAGAAGGAAAAGATGTCGGTACGTAGCTCTCAAAATTCTTTACAGCTTATAGACGAAATGAGTCTGTATTATGTCATCTCACAAATAAAAACAAGTTGCTCGCATATACGACTTACATAGACCATGGGAAAGATGAGGGATAACTCTAACCTTCGCCCGCCCTTGGTATGAGGTGTGTAACCTCTCCCCCCCCCCCCCCTTCCGCCCACTCGCCCACCCCATTAAGTATCAAATTTTGTATACGTTGGGCAGGGCTGGTTCATTTCATGCTGAGTTGGATGCGGTGACATCCGCGTTATATCGCCATCTGTTCAAAGTCGACGAAGTCTGAATCTAGGGGGACGTTTAGGCTCAGCTCAAGAAGATGCATCTTCTGGTATATGAAATCGCCCGCTGAACGCGTAGGAGATTAGATTCCACAAATCGTCTTAGATTTTTCGTTAAGGCATCATTCCTTGTGCTTAATCATTGCACTCACTGGGCAACCTACAGTAGGTGAAGACCTAAAAAGACTTTCAAAATCTGACTGCCTACCTGGAGCACTTTTATGAAGATGTACCCCGCTGAACTGTGTTGAAAGGTAAACTACGTTTCAGAACTCCTCCACTCTGAACAAAAATATGGCGATGCGACGCGGATGTCTCCGGTGAAGTTCGGCAACTTTCTTGACTAGCTTGCGAGCAGTATTGTACAAGTTTGGATGTGAGACTTTAAAAAAAATGCCCAAATCTTTGCGGTAGCTGCGTCAGCCCCATGTCAGCGTCGTGCCAGTGCCGTGTGGGCCATGCCCCACCCACGTGCAAGCCTCCGCATTTGTCGATAGACGTACCGCCACGGCGCTAGCAAGGGCTGGCATGGCGCTGACACGGGCAGCTCTGTAAGTAAACTTAGCATTACTTTGTTCTATCAAATGGCGAATATTAAAAATGGAAATATCAATAGAAGCGCATCTTTGTGACTTGGAAAAACCAGATTTACGACAGTGCTAAAGCAACTGCGTACCTCCTCTAACCCAGGTTAGAGCCACATTGTGGAGAGAGCGCCGGCGTGGAGATGGTAACGCAGTTGTGGGTGATTTACCTGACGCGTTGCGAAGTCGAGGAAGAAAGTCGCGAACACTCATGTCTAAAAATTGCCAAAAAAAATCTTCTGCACTGAAAATGCTTCTTAAACTTGTCTAGTAATGAGCAAAAAAATTCTGTGTAATAGTAATTCACGAATTTCTGGTTGCTGAATTTGTTGGAAAACTTGTTTCATCAACGGAAGAAATATTTTTTTTATAACAGAGCGATTCAAGTTTGAGTTGCTTTGACTATTCCACATCCAAATACAGCTTTCACTGTGCAGAAAAAAATCAATGAAGTTTCAAATAAAGCGCAAAACCCAAATTAAAGCTGTGAATCTGGGCTAGAAAAAACCAAAATTTGCTCAATTTTCGTCCCCACTTTCTGTAGAAAAGCTGCGCGAAGATGTAACCGCTTCTACCATTAGGTCATTCGGAAAGTTTTTTTCGCTTTTTGCGCCCTCAAGATTGATGCCATACTCTAAAAGAGTGTCAAAGGGCTGATAGGGATTGCTATATATGGATCTGTAGAGAAAGTCCTTTTGTTTCTGACGATGAGGATCCTACCAAGCTTGCAAAAATGGCTTTGTGGGGAAGTTTATGCGCCTATAAATTCCAAATGTGAAGACGTGATTCTCGAATAATTGCGTTCTCTAAGCTCAAAGTTATACGTAAGGTAGATGAAGGAGCCATCATTGATGCAGTGTGAATGGCAAAGCTTCATCTTTCTCAGAGTTGGTGCAAGATTGCTTTTGAAAATTCTGATCTGGAGAAGTAAAGGCTAATGTTTTGTAAGGTTCTGGAAGATGTTGCTTCCATGTAGGCGAGCATCTCAGAGGTTGCTTCATAGCAAACCGCAATTATAACTGCATTTAATTATCAGCATGCCTTAAAGTGTCACATAACCCCATGAGCCACCTTCGCAAAAGTTGCAAAATCGAAAAATTTCAGCAATTAAATACCCCACAAATTGTCGAACTCACAGACTGAGGGTGCGGTGACTCTGCTTTCCTTGCTCATAATTTGATAGAGCAATCCTTTTTGGCATGAAATGATATTTACAATAAAAAATGAGTTAAGTACGCCTATAAGAAGCGACACTGTGATAAATTATATAGAACAAGCACTGAAAGCATGGCCATGGATTATCATTCATTCAAAAGGGTAGTGAACTCGAATCACTGTAATACTGCTGGTCTTGTACACTATAAACTTGCTAAGATGTGATTGTATAGTCAGAGCAGAGTAATATGATATCGGTCTCTAGACCGTTTGTCAAAATTTCAAAACTGAGCAGACTTGCACATACAACTATGCGAGCTGCCATCTTCGCAGATGATGCCGCTAAAGCACATGTAAGAAAGGTGGCTCTCACAAAAAGGGTTAACTGCGCAACAACGAGGTTCCTGTTCATTTTTCGAGTTCGACCTTCCTTTACCAATCACCAATTTTGCTAGTTAGTTCTAGCAAGTTCCGCGCTGCCTATTCAAAAATAATATGGCCCAGTGAAAATCAAGTAGTCAAAAACGCCTTTTTAGGTTTTCAAGGACTCTGCTGAGATTATTTCGCAATGTAAAAGCACCAGAGCACTGTAGAAGTGTAGCCAAAAATGTGCTAAACAGAATGAAGTTTATTTGGTGGAAAAGGTTGGATCTGGAAAAACGTTTGCTTGTTCAAATTTGAAGGTTCGAAAACGAAGAAAAACTTTCCGAATGACCTATTATTTCCGATGCAACGCTGCTTGCGAAACATTCAGTGACTTCACTTTGGGAACAGAATAGGTAGAGGATATGCTGCATAAAGTAGTTATGATTGGACGCTGAGGCAGAAGTCTGATACATAATGAAAGTTAACACATGGCGAAAGTTATTCTATAGAACCTTTGGCATAAAGTATTCATGCACATTTACTCATACTGCCTTACTAACTCTCTGCTGCATTTATCGTGAAAAAGGACTACGAAATAGGAAGTCTCATCAAACCCCAATAAAAACTGTTTGGTGCAAAGCTCTACATCAAACTTACGCTGATCCGGGACCAATCTCGTTCACATTTTGCCACACTATCTGAGAGATAAATAATTGAAACAAACAAGACCTGCAGAAAACGCACCAGCGCTCGTTGAGCGCTTCATTCTGAATGGATTCGTAAGCGATCGTCTTCGTTCTTTTTTCGTTATCGTGGTCTGTTCCCTGGAGACGATTAGGTCAATTACTGCTTATGGATAACTCCCGAATTTCTGAACTCTACAGTCGACGGAAGTGAACTTACGGATGCATCTCTTGCGGATGTAAAGCAGCATCCGCTAGCATTTGCGACCTCTCAGAGAAAGCTTGCATTCTGACAGCTTCTTCCTAGAATACGGTAGTATGCTAGTGTCATAAATGTGCTTATTCCGTCGCCTAGAAAAAGCACAACGCTTTTTGGAGATTTTTATGTCTCCTCCTCATCTTTTATTCGATCATCTTTCATGTTCCCTCCGAGGGAAGAAACTAAAATCCGGCATCTGTGATTCTTCCTTAACTTGGCTCTCTTGTGGACCTTATGCAAAAGATCACTGTTCTTTTTGGGCAGCGTATAGTTTGCTGACGCGCCAGCGCCGTTCCAGCGCCGTGCCGAGACCCACATTAACGCCCCATATTGATTCTTTGACGTACAGGCACGGCCTTAGTACGGCGTTGGAACAGCCCTGGCACAGCCAACTTTGAACTCAGCCAAACCTTGTTTCCTTTCCTTACTCACCAATGGATTTTTCTTACTCTGATGCCATATATGGAATGCACACATCGAAACAGCTATAATAACCAGGAAGGTGACCGCTCCAGTCATTATCACAAATCGGTATTTTATCTGAAATAAGTCATTTTGGTCAGAAATTTTCAAAGAAAAAGTCAGCAAAATTCAAAAAAAGCATATTTTATTGCCTGTTGATTAGTTTTCTTTCGTGATTGTCGCGCATGGGCGGCGATTTTTACCGTACAAATGGGATACGGTTGAATTTTAGGGCCGACTTGTGAGCACTGGTCGCAATGTAAACCCTTGTATTTTGCTGGGCAGATGCACGAAAGCGACATATTCTTAATATCTAAAAATATTATTTGCATTGCTCTACTACCAAGCTTTAACTAATAAAAGTTACAAACTTGGATAGCCATGATAGCATATAATTCTTTCGCAGTAGTCCCCTTCAAAGCCTTTATGGCAAATGCATCTGCAAAACTTTTCTTTTTGCTAGGAACCAAACGTTTCAAGAAACGAGAAAAAGAAGAAGCATCACCTGCCATGCTTGATAATTCCATTGTCACATCTACTTGTGAACTGACATTCATCACCAAAGAACGAACCTATACACTCGCACTTATTGTCTTTCCACTCTCCTCTGTTTCCGCACTGAAAAAAGGTACAGATTGTTTGGATCAAACGAAAAACTCTCGGGAAGTGAGAAAGACGAATTACCCTGTCAGTTAAATGATACTCGCAAAGATCTCCCTTCCATCCTTCGTCACAAATGCAAGGTTTGCTAAATATGAGACTGAGCGGATCATATCGTCGACCCACAGAGATTCCGTGAACTGGAAACCTTCTGATCAAATTGTAAAACTTTCAAGCAAGTGAAAACAACTTCTAATTACCACATGCAAACTCTTCACATGTCTTTCCAGTATGTGGATGGATACAGTGACACTGACCGCCAGCATAAATTCCACCATTCCGACATTTGGACTTGGGATCATCTTTTCGGATGTTTTCGTGAACGTCGCGTTTGTCGAGAATTCTAAAAGAACACATTCAAATTGCCAAGTTTTGCGAAGGTGGTGACCTCCATAGCATCAGAAAATTTAGAACTGAGCTAATTTATCTTTTATAGGTCATTCTAGGAGTAATGATGACTAATTGCAGCCCCTACAGTTCTTACCAAGATGACTTGTAGAAGATGAAATTAAGTACTAGTTCTGACCAGAAAGATCTGCAATAATTTGATTAGAAAATTCTAGTTGAATTTGCACTTCACCCTCTGACATTGCAGAGGTCTCCCATTGTTTAATTTTTCATTATATGAACACGAGTTCACCAGTAAAGCCTATTGTCTGATCACATCATCACTTAGTCATTACAATTATCTCCTTAAATGACTAATCATTTTCCTAAAATAGAATTTCGAATTGTTTTGATAAATATATGCTTGGACAAGAGTCATGAGATAATTCTTTGACTTTCGAAATTGTTTTGACAAATTACTTATGGACACGACAACAGCAAAACATGTACAATTTGTTCACGACAGTTTCTTGTAATATTTCTGAAAACATTAGACAAAAGATAAATGTCTTAACATCACTGGATTTTTGATATTCCCCATATGATTGCGAAATTATAGAAATGAAGCGAGAGATTTAGAATACTAAAATATTCGCTTTATTTAGGCTTGGAATGTCGAATCGCCTGGCATTTCCGTGATGTCCCCAAAGGCGATCATGCAAGTACGTTCAGAAGAACAATTAACAAAACAACATTAAATTCACATCTCAAAGATGATTTACACCTGTAACGTAATATATTGTTAAATTAACTCAATGCTTCAACACGATAAATTGAAGAAATTTGACAGGACGGGAAGAGCTAGCAGACACATTAAATTTATCAAAAATGGAGATAAAGTAACATTATACGTAGAGGTGAAGTGTTAATGCTTGAAGTAAACGTAAAAATGAGTCTTATGAGCTGGGTCATCTCTTTCGGTAGCTAAGCTAAGTGCCAATTTAGAGCATACTATTTTCTATTCTCGCTATTTTAAAGAATTCAGACTTCATTTCTATAAGAAAGTAAGAAAGTACGACCACAGCAATACTTGTATCATTTGCTACCCCTTGAACCACTTCTGTTGCTCTGAGTTTTTGTAAATTTTATAATTTTTAAAATCCTCTGTAAGTGTAGCAAGCTCATAGTAGTTTTCTTGAGACCGCGTTCAGAGAATAAACAAGTTTGTGGATTGATTTCAGAAAATGGAGTTTATCAATTGACAAGAATAGTTTCATATGGTCAAAGCTCGTATCGGGAGTTCAAAAGATACCAGTATCTTAAACGTTCTTTGTCTGTATATTTTCTCTTCTGTGCAGAATGGGAATTAGTTTCTTCGAAACGAACTAGCAGGGGTCAAAATGCTTGAAGCTTATTATTAATTTAGTGATTAATTGCTCATGCAAATACCACTTCCATAAATGCAATAAAAACTGCATTTTTGCTGCTCGACTATTTTAACAACTGATCTAAATTATTATTCGGTAAAATTCGATTTATATGGATCACAGTAGACCCAAAGATGGACCTATTCAAAGCCACATATACCGTATTAACAAATGGGAATTCACAAGTCACATTATTTGGTTCTGTTTCAACAAAAAGGTCACACTTGATGTTTTTGTTCCGGAGAGAAAAATCGAATTACGAAGGTCGATAATGGTTATCAAAAACTCGAAAAATGGCTAAGAAATTTGAGAAATAATTCACCGACATGACAATTACAGATAAGGTATGCAAGTCTTACATTAACAAACATTTTGAAAGTGTTAACTAACAAAATAGGTGGCGGGAGGACAATGTTCCAGCACCATTCGCTCTTATTTTATAGTCTGAAGTTCTACTGCAAAAGAAAGGAGGACTGGAATGAGAAGCACAGGCAATACAAAAAACTTGACAGATTATCATAAAAATCACATTGGGAAAAACTGTACGAGGTTATTTGAAATTCAAAAAAAAATGAAGAATCTGCTCCAGAAAAATTTGAGGAGCTGAAGCTTCAGTTTGATAGTGAATTTACCATGATAAATGCACAAAAAGTTGGAAAAATGCAACACACCTGCAAATTCTCACCTTTCCGCGTTATTGACCGTTGTGGACGCTATTAAATCGAAAACAAGGCCGGCAACAAGCGAGAATAACAGCAAATGTGTCGAAATCATTTAGCATTTGTCTGTGATCTAGGTTGTAAGTGAAGTTGGAATGTTTGGTGCAGGAAGGTTAAAGAAATAATGGCGGTATACGGTAAGAAGTCGAAGAGAGGCGCGCGAGATGAATGAGGCGAGGCGATACTGTACGAAATTGACGGGGGAAGGGAGAGGAGGGGGAGGGGATAAACTCAGTTTGGGGAAGTTAGGACCGACCCGGGAATTGGCAGGGTTTGTCTGAACAATGTCGAAGAGTCGAAACAGTCAGAAACAGTTACCAAAACTGAAGAAAATTCGATGAGCGATGTCCACTTCGACTGCTGACGCTATTGATCGCGTTTTGGTAAACCGTCGTCGCCCCCGCGATGAACGAGAGAACGAACGTTTCGGATAGCAATGTTTGGAGTTTTGTAATGAGAAAAGTGCAGCCTGTCTGCCTCTCCTTAACTTGTTCGAGTTTCTACTACAAAACTTGTAAATCGCTTCAGAATGACTGGAGATGAAAGGTCACTCGATAACGAACTGCTGCGATCAATGCGACCTTTGATAGCGATCTTTTACGGTGACCCACAAGAGTCGAGACAGATTCTGGAAACGTCCTGTCATATCAGTGTTTATGTAGTGACACGGCGAACTAGCTGGTTCCTACTATACTGTAAATAATTCTTATCAGATCTAAAATAGAACTGAGAGTCACAGTCCACCAGGAACTCCATTTGTCACTCTAACAAGATTGGAGCTACTAGGTCGTGACATAAGTTTTGTTAAACTTCTTTCGTCTTTTTTTAAAGACCCGGAAAACTTTAGCGAATTTTGTTTGGCACATATTGGGAATGGACAACGGTATATCCAATAGCGTTATTCTCACCTTCATGGGTTTTAGTGATATAAACTCAAATTTGCAACTGCAGTTGAACCTCCATTTCCACGTTTTTTTTAAAAATCGCTCATTCTTATTTTTTATGGTTTTAGATTTTCTATGGACTCCCACTACTACCCTATTTTCAGGTGTATAAGCCGCACCCTTTTTGCTCTAAACGCGAGCAGACCCAGGCGTGCCGCCGCGCATATGTCTCGCGAAGCGGTCGCCTTATCGCATACTGCTCTCACTTAACGCGCTCCATGATGACAGTCAGTCTTTTGGCGTGTTCGCCTTTAGAATGAAAAGGGTGCGGCTTATACACCTGAAAATAGGGTACATAACAGGGAATAAAATAATTGATATAAAAAAAGTGCGGAAGTTTGGCTGCTCAACAACGCATGCTGGAAATTTGCCAAAAATGAATCGAAATGTTTTAAAAATACAAAAATTGAGTTTTTGCGTGTGAATATACACGAAGAGCTATAACGGTCATGTAATCTGAAGACGAAAAAAGGCTTTTGAGAAAGTAGTGAAGATTTTTCTTTCAAATGTATCAAAATTCATGTTAGACCCAATACTTATACTCACAGTTCGCGAAGCATGCTATTGTAATTTACAAGATTTCTGGAACTACGTAACAAAATTTTTTTCAGTAAATGGCATTGCTATTTTTCGGCTCTTCCCATGAGTAATAAATTTTTTTCCGTAAACTTCCGGTTACTATGAAAATTCAATTTGACCTTACATTTCCATACAAAATCATGTGATTCAAGGTAGTTTACGGGCATCAGCTTACAATTTTGCACGATGCACGTCTAGTCACAGTCGACAAAATTGTCAGTTCCGATAATCGTGAAAGAAATTCAAGGATTCCTGAGAGAAATTTTTTGTGGAAAGGAACTCAAGGCTTGATAAATGCAGCGTGGAAAGCGTCTTAATCACAATTTGACAGATGCATAGAATTTGTTATTTTTTTAATAGTTATTCAGCTCGAAACAGCGACTACCAACGAAAAGAGCTAATTGCTCTAAACTACGGTACAATAGTTCTTGTTGTATACACGATTACAAATCAATATTTCCGGGCAGCATGTCGTGATTGCCTGAAATAGAGATGCATAATCTCCCCTGGATTTCATTTGTTCTGATTTTCTAATCAGTATTTTAGTATCTTGGCAACTATGCAGAAAAGTGGAGCAATTTTGAGCTAGCCGTTATCCAAGCTTTTTCTACTTTTGTGTTGTGTTGATAAGATCATGTGTGATGAGTTGAAAGAAGATTCTGAACCTCTAAAGTGGAGCATTAGAATTATACCTACAATTTCCAAAAAATCTTGAACCTATGGCGCCCAGAAATTAAAAGGAAGAACTTGAAATTCAGTTTGATTTGTTTCGCGAAGATTTGCGGTGTTGGAACACGATTACTAAATGCGCGAGCATTCCTGGTCTTTTCTTTTCAAATTCACTTCAAAGACCCATCCACTTTGACTTATGTAAGTTTACGAAGAAGTACAACAAAGAACGTGGTGGACCATTTCCCCCTAGATTTCTCATTACTTGAGCTTCTCACACTGAACTGTTAAAGTGTAAGCTGCTTGTACTGGTTTTTCCTATGCATAAGACAGAAAAGGATGGCCAAATTCATGAATACTTTCAGTGATTCATAAGGTGAAAAGAGTTCTATTACAGTACAGTATGCTCTTGCTCTATGTTTCTATTACAGTATGCTCGACTGAAATGTTCAATAACACATATATTACTTTCAAAAAAAAACTCTAGCCGCTCTATGTCCTCTGATGCATTGGAAATTTTATCGGGTGAACAAGTAAAACGATTTTTCCTCTGCTTTTCTTATGTCTGAGATCTGTTGAAAAAATGAACTTGTTTCGGTGATTGTAAGGTTTTCTTTTTTGACTGATTGTCGAAACATTACAATTGTCATCGATCATCGGCGCTCTGTTGCAATGACTTCACAATGGATTATATTCATTGCATTCAATACACAGAAATAGATGAAAGCAGCAGCTTAAAAGATGTTTCGGAATAACTGCGATATCACTCTATCTTACAGCGAAATAAACATTCTTCACAACTATTTTACCTAAGCGGTAAGAAGATGAGACTAAGGTTTTTCTTCTCGTATTACTGCTGTTAAGAAGAATTTTCAGCATTTTTCTTTTGACATGCGGCCCCATGTATGTTATTCCTATGTACGTATACATTCCTAATGAATTCGCTTATGGTGAAGAGATGGCACAGAGTGAGCATTTGTGTTCAAAATTACCAATTTGTAAATTTACTCATCACAGTGCTTGGAAACACAAAAAAGCGGTTCAAGTTTATCGAAAATGTCTGAACTATTCACCGATAATTATGACCATCGCCGTTAAGCCGAAAGCTGTCAAACTCATCTCTACTTTGAAGTTGCTTGATGGTGCATTGTTTTCAGAATTTTATTCATGATTATTTCATCAACATAAGCTCTCCCTCTTAAGTGATGAGTTCCGAGAGGGCTAACTAATCATAGTTTATCCTAAAGGTTGCAACGAAGTTGCTAGAACAGAAAAGCTCACGAGGTAAGATATACTCTTCTTTATTTTTTGTCTTTGTAATTCAGATTTCATTGAATTTCATTAACCCTTACTTCTTTTTGAATTTGTTTCTATTTACGTAAAATTCTTTATTGATATGTGCTAGCACATGAAAGTGATCAATAGAACAAAGTGTATTCTCAAAATGCTAGGAACACACAATGCATCGGATGCTGAACATGAACAATAAAACAATGAGAATGACAAATACAGCAACAAAACAGAGGAACATGCTAAAAGACGTAAAGACACAAGCATTTTATGCGAACGACAACATGATCAAGAAGCATTGCGATTTGAAGAGTACGGAATTGAGCCAAAGTGTTTGAAGAAATTTTGTGCCAATACTCTATTGAAAACTAAACACTTCAGATACGGTCACTTGGTTCTAATATTCATTAATGCTGCCCTACTTTTTATTAATTTGCTGCTAGAAGGTTGACCTTCTCGACGCATGTGATAAAATTAGTTCCAGTTTCGAATAAATTTTTTTTCTGCTCCAACATTTATGGACTAAAAAATTCAACTACGCAAAAATCACAAAAGTCTGATAACCGTTTTCATCCTTGAAAAGGAAATGCCGGGGTTTCTACCCTTTTTGCATGAAAACAAAACAAGCTCTATCAGATGACGTTCTTATTTTTGCACCAATTCAAGTTCACCTCGAAGCCAAAAGCCAAAAAGATGCAACCACCAGGAAATTAAACGATGTTTTTGCCAAAGTAATGCTGTGCTGTCAACATGTAGTTAGTTGTATACTATGGACCAGTACGAGGACAGACATGAACTTTCAGCGCTCTATAAGCCTTAATTCTCGAGAAGCATTGGATTTCGCTTCGCTTAGTCGGGTGTCCCATACTAAAACGGATATTTCTCGAGAACTAAGGCCTGTAGATTGCTGAAAATGCATGTGTGTACTTGTACTGCTTTGTAGTACACCACTATAGCTGTGGGGACAGCACAGCATCACCTTGTAAAACATGAAAATTTTCTTGAGCTTCATCTAAGGAAAAAATGGCGCAACAGTATATAAAAATGTCTGATGTGGATAGGGTATCTGTGAGCAAGTTAGGAATTTTCTAGGATTCTTTTGGAAGCAGTTACGATTTTTTCTTCATTTTTTGGGTGATTGGATCTTTTTGGTTTTTGGCTTCAAACTCGAGACGGTTTTGAACTGGTGCAAAAGTAAGAACGTCTTCTTGTAAAATTTGCTTCGCCCTATCAAAAGGTGCCTTGGAACCTATCCAGAATCAAGAAGTCCATGACTTATTGCGATTGGAAATTAAAGCGGAGGGAACTTATGGGATAACAAACACTACCGCTTGATCGTTGAGATTGCCTCTTTGTCGGAGATAAAGTGTGCGTGAAACGGGAAATTCGGTGAAATCATATTTCCTTCTATAATCTCTGGATGGCTTTGCTCTTAGCCTTAAGCGCTCTCCGCATATCTTCGTCATGGTACACCATCTAATTTTTTTCACTTTTCCAATTCATCCCTGATATGTTCAGAAATTGTGCGAAAAAATCTAACAATCTTTCTGGTGCCTCAATCGCCAACGACACAAATCTTCGTCCACATAACTGTTTCTATTAGGTTGGTGCGAAAGTAATGCTCGATTTTTTAGCCCCAGTACAACTTTTTGCAATGGACTTCCTTCTTAAAAAACAGCAGAATTCCAAGAAACTCTTTTGATGATATCCAATGGTGATTGCATCTTCTCGCCTCATTCGTTAAATTTTGCAAAGCTTAACACAACCGCATTCGAAATCAGAATTTCATTGCACTTATTAGGTTGTTCGGAAATTAATGCCATTTTGAATTTTAATCGCAATAAGTCATACACTTCTCACTTCTGAATAGGTTTCAAAGTACCATTCAATAGAGCAAATCAAGCTCTATCTACAAGACTACCATCTTGGTTTTGCAACAGCTCTCATCAATCTCGAGTTTCGAGCCAAAAACTAAAAAGAATCAGCTGTCCGAAAAATTCAGAAAAATCGTTACTCCGTTCACAAAAATCCTACAAAAATTTTTACTTACTCGCGTAAACAAAATCCACATAGGGCATCTATATACGCCTTTGCCGTACTTTCCCAACCAAGAAAACTGAAATTTTCGTGCATTTGCCAAAGTGGTGTTGTGCCGTCCCCACATAGGTAGTTGTATATTACAAACCTGTAGAAGTATAATCGTAAATTCTCAGCTCTCTACAAGCTTTAGTTCTCGAGAAATTTGAATTTTAGCTTAGACCACCTAACTAGGGGAAGCTATATTCGGTATTTCTCGAGAACCAAAACTTGTAGAAAGCTGAAAATTTAAGTCTGTACTTCTACAGGCTTATGGTATACAACTACCTATGTAGGGACGGCACAGCATCACTTTGGCAAACGCACGAAAATTTCAGTTTCTTGGCTTTTAACAGAGGGAAAAGTACGGCAAACGCGTATATAGATGTTTTATGTGGATGGTGTTTACGTGAGCAAGTAAGAATTTCTGTAGAATTTTTATGACTTGAGTTACGATTTTTTTCGATTTTTGGGCTGCCAAGTTTTTCTAGTTTTTGGCTCGAAACTCAAGGTTAATGAGAGGTACTGCTGCAAAAGCAAGAGGGCCATCTTGTAGAGCTTGCTTTCCTCTATCGAATGGTACTTTGAATCCTATTTAGAAGTGAGAAGTGTATGACTTATTGCGGTTGAAATTCAAAATGCCATTAATTTCCGAACAACCTAATACTTTTCTGGCCAGAATTCAAGCGCAAATGAAAGCATTTATTGAAAGTTTGGCCATATACATAATAGAAAATGTCTGTTACATTACGCACACTTTACTATTCTCTGAGAAATTATCTAGACTGAGACATCAGCGCCCCAATATGGGTAGTCGTCCTAGTCTTTCTGAGACACATAAATTTCTTTGTAGAATGCTATCGCCATGGCAGTTTCTGCACAAACGTTTAACCTCCAGTATGCAAAAAATCAAAAAAAAACTTTATGTTTAGGGACTTTGAGGGATACGAAAAAATCTTGAAAAAGCTGACAATTTTAATATTCAATTTCTTTTCCTTCGCAAATCTTCTTTGTTTAAGACCTTTTCATTTTCTTATACATGTACTATTGGCTTGCGGCTATACGAGAGGCAGGCTACTTAGCATTTATACTAACAAGTTTGAAGGAAGTTATGATCAGTTGAAAACGAGGTTTCAGAAAAAACTTTTATCGTTTATCAATCGATAATTTTATGCTCGTTTTTGATATGGTTATAGGAGGATGTGCGCTGTATTGCGAAAGGAATGCTGCCTCTGATGGTCTTTATCACATCAAAAATTTAGATTTTCAAGAAAGTTATAGCACGTCAAATTGAGAACTCGCAAAAGGCGCATTACTTTTGCACTAGTCTAATACAGTGTCTGAGGACGACTACATAATCAGACATTCCGAAATCTCTAAAACTGAGTAGTAAAATACGAAGGAAGTCCAACCTTTAAAATTCAAATTTTGTGCAACTTCTTTGAGAATCGCAGCAATTCCGGTATTGCATTCAGCTTCCAGAGAGACATTGAAGTTCATTTGTTCCATTTTCTCTTTGCGAGAAAATTTGGATAAGAACTGCATCGCTGTGGTTAACAAAATTATAAGCATCACGTCAACAACTTTTCATGGTTCTAAAAGGGAATAGTATTAGGTTGTCAAGAAAATAATGTCCGTTTTTATTTGCTTGCTTTAACAAAGCAACCAGACTCAACCCAACAAAGGGTAATGGGTATTGTTCGATAGGGCAAAGCAAGCTTTACAAGATGGTGTTCATAATATTGCGCCATGCTCGATCCACTGAGAGTTCGAACTCAAAATCTAAAGATTTTCAAACGCTCAAAAAATCGAAAAAAATCAGATCTTCGTCCAAATAATTTCTACGGACCTCCCACTAGCTCATATCAATACTATCGATATCAGATATCCATATGTGCGATTGGCGTATTTTTTTCTTGACTAGAAACTGAGAAAACGAAAATTTCCCTGATTTTCTCAAAGCAATGCTGAGCCGTTTCTGCAAGTGTGGTTCTATACTATAAGCCTAGGTAAGTATAATTGTAGATTTTCAGCCCATTCCAAGCGGTAGTTTTCGAAAAATAACGAATTCGGATTTTTTCCAGTCTCAGTGCTAAAATCGACATTTCTCGAAAAGTACCGCTCGAAATAGGCTGAAAACCTACAGTTATGCTTACCTAGGCTTGTAGTATAAAACTACATATGCAGAAACGGCTCAGCATTGCTTTGAGAAAATCAGGGAAATTTTCGTTTTCTCAGTTTCTAGTCAAGGAAAAAATACGCCAATCGCACACATGGATATCTGATATCGATAGTATTGATATGAGCGAGTGGGAGGTCCGTAGAAATTATCTGGACGAAGATCTGATTTTTTTCGATTTTTTGGGCATTTGGAAATCTTTAGATTTTGAGTTCGAACTCTCAGTGGATCGAGCTTGGCGCAAAGGCATGAGTGCCATCTTGTAGAGCTTGCTTTGCTCTATCGAACAGTACCCCTTACCCTTTGTTGGGTTCAGTCTGGTTGCTTTGTTAAAGCAAGCAAATAAAAACGGACATTATTTTCTTGACAACCTAATAAATTTCGATTATTTTAAGGGCATAAAATTGTGTTTCCAGCGGTCAACACGTAAGCGCGGTCACATACATATTGTACATATGTCTCGAATGTTTTATTTGCTCCACAACTCTCTGCTTTTTTTCAAAATTGAAGTTGAAAAAGGATTTACCACCAAGCACAGGACGTTCATATTACTCATTATTAGTGTTCTAATATGTGGTGTCGTTTTTTTCAGTCTTGTACAATAGTCCAGCTGGCAGAATCTCAGAGCAATTTCGAAGTTTACCCACGCTTTTAGCCAAATTCGGATCAACACAAGTTTTGAATCGAGAAAACTTTGCAAAATGCACATTGCATCAAGCAACAAACAAGACTCGGCACAGGTGGCTTATGGGGTGTGCTGAGTATCGTTTTGGAATGAAAAACAAGGGGGGATATCGTTGAAGCGGAACCCCAGCCCTCACCCCCCTCCCAACACACAATCATTCTCCCTTTATGTCACCTTTCATCTTCCATAGAGGAAGCAAATTGTCTTTCCTGCCTCGTCGATCCCAATCCTACAAAAACCGAAGGTTTCCTGTTCTGACAGATTCGCCGGTTAAGCGCGCGAATTCAAACCTGCCGCGAAACGCATAACTTTGTTCTAAATCAACAAATCTCCCTAAACCCCCTCTTTCTCGCCTAGTTACAGCCCTCCAAATATTTTGCATGGCGGCGGCAAGCCTGCTTCAAGCGCGCAAGGGTGCGCGCCAGACACAGTATGCTGCCATTTCTGAGAATACGAACATCTTTAGTTTTTTTTTCGTCTGTTCAATGTTGTTTTCATGTTGTTCCGTTGTTTTTCCTTACTCGTTTTGATCCATTTATAATCGGATCATGGGTGATGTCGTATTTTTGTGGAGGAGTCTACGGGGACTCGTTTTCAAAAATTTGAAAAAGTCACCTCATGCCGAGCCCTGGCAAAGAAGCGACATTTCCAAAAAAATCTCGATTTGCAACTTGATAGTTTTCCTCGTCTTTTTGCATTCTCAGCCAGTCGATTTTGGTAAAGTGCATGAATTTCAAAGAAGTTGCACTTCGATTTTAATCAGCTTAACTGCGGTTGAAGTTCCTTTCGTTGCGATAGATATAAACAAAAATCTTTATCTTCGATGGAATCAAAATACTGACACTTTGTGATCTTTGAAACCATTTAACGACCTCAAATTTGGCACAATAGAAAAAAGATTGATGCTAACTAGGATGACAGGAATTAAAGGGAATTTTTTTGTAACTCTTCTAGTAGGTTATTTCATCTAAAAAGCATATAACTATGCCAAACCCGGATATATCGGTTTTCTCTAGTTTTACGGTTAAGCTTTTTACTATATCGAGGTGAATACAGTAATGTGTTTTGCAATCAACACCTATTTTACCTTCTTCTTCAACCTCGCTTCACAACTTGTTTTCTTCAACCAGTAGTTTTATTACGTGCCTCACTCATTAGGCTTCACTTTTACAGCTTGTCTCAAACTTGGGCATTGTGCCAAATCTATTTTAGATACTTGTTCTATTGTTGCCGCAGAAGGCTTTTTTACATCCTTTGCACTTGGCTGCAGGGCAATGTTCTCATTTCCTGCTACTATTCTAAGAACTTGAGTTTGCATAAGGGCATATATTATACATGCCAAGTGCTAGAACTCTTAAAATATTCTTGGTCTGCTCAAAATATCATTCTGCACGTGCAGAATAATCAACGAAATTTTGGAACAGGGGCCGACCAACTTCTCATATATATCTTGGCCGAGTTGTAAGTAAAATTCCAGCTTTTGAGTGTTATGGTGCTTCTGAACTATAGTAATTCTCTTTTAGAATAAAGTCTATTTCTGTCTCTTGGAAATCTAAAAAAGGACCTCAGTCTGTTCCTGCTTATATGTACGTGCTATGGACTTTCCTTTATCCAGTCTATTCTTTTTTTTAGTCACAAATTATGTTGGTCAACCATTTTATTATATGGAGTCGTCGAATCTTGTCGAAATCTCCCTGTTTCGAAATCTAGCCTACATTCAGCTAGGTTTTAACATTTCTTTCTGGATATTTGCCAAGCTATCACAAGACGTAGCATCCTTCAAAAAAACGGACATTTTGCATCGTGTATTCCAGAAGAAGTCTTAAGAAAGTTGACACATAAGCTACATTTAGAATAAACTAACAGCGATTTGAAGTTTCTTAAGTCCGGAGGCCCAAAAAGGTTCCGTTTATTCAACCGCCCCAAATACTTCCTTATGCAGCAATAATCGTTCAGGCGACGTCAAAACCTGGCTTTGAGAGAGATTAAGGATCACAAAAATGATTTATATAGTGAAAGTGGTAAACACTTCCTGTTATGACAAACAGTCATATCCGTAGGAAAATTAGTATCTTAACAAAATGTCAAAAACATCAGCTTAAAACTAATCTGTATATATTTTTCAGCATAACATTGCTCAAATCCTTCTAAAGCCTTTATTTTGCCAGCACTCAATACGAAGAGGACGAAGCGGAGAGCTAGGTTTATTGGAAAACGGGATATTCCATAAATCTTCTTGCATAGTGTGTAATTTGATTCATGCAGTTTTTATGATGTACTTTCATTGCACCAATTCGCTGCAAAAAAAGTAGGATGGGGAGGATACACTTACAGGGTAAATCGCAATAATATTTCAATTGGTATCTGCTTGCGTTTTAAAGCTTATTCTGTCAACTGCAGTAAGAAAGATGGGCTGTAATATGATATTTATTGCAAATCTGGGAGAAAATAGAAGAGAGCTTTTGGATTTTTAGTCGGAGCGTGGGGGCCACGCAGTCGGGAAAACAGATTAAAGACGTCATTCTCCGTTCTGGTTCCATTGGACGTCAAAGAAAATTTCCAAGCGAACTATTCAGCTCTTCGTACATTATTTGTAGTCCCTACATTCCAGTATATACATTCTCTGTATTTATTTATTTTTATTTTATTGTTATTTAGTTTTATTCTATTATTTTCTGTGTATTTTCACGCTCACAGCCGAATAGGTTTTTCGGGTAATTTGTGCAACCGCAAATTTTCTAGGAAAATAGTTTTTGTTTCCTCCAAATTCTTTTTTGCACTTTCTTCGCTCCAATTTTCTAGGATGTGCATGACATAAATTCGCTGAAGCTTTTTCGAATACATCTGTGCTCAAGCAAGAAGAAGAATATTATTTAGGACACACAGCAAACCTCTTCCTGGAAAATGTACAATTCCACCATTAGCAATGTGACTTACTATACAACATGTACACCTCCCAGATCTCCGTAGCTAGATATCTTCAGCTCGGCTAACGAACAATTGTGCTTATTAGCAGAGAACGATTAGTGGCTAAAGTGGAGGCTGTGGCTCGTTAGTCGGCCTTAGAAAATCCCATTCAAGGGATCTTCAGAGGCAGAAGAATTAGGTGAAACGCATGAATGGAAGTGAGGCACGCATCCGTGACAACAACATTTTTCATAAATTACATTCAACATATTTTCGCTTTGGCTCTTGCTCTGAAGTTATGTTTTTTTTTGATTTTTCATTATTGGAAGGGGTTGTGAAAAGTGCTTTAGAGTCAAAAAAATACAGCCAGTTGAAACCTATTAGATTGATACATAAGTCTTGCCCTCAAATTTTCAAAAAAAAAAGCTTTGAAAATGTGTGAATGTTTTCTTAAGCAAGTTATTTATTTTTGTAAAATGTGTCAAAACTTGTATCTTATCGCAAAAATTGAAGAATTTTTCGATTCTAAAGAAGAAACTTGAAAAAGTCTGAAAATCATAAATAGTTGTAAACGTTCGATCATTTCCCTCAGATGGAAAAAGCATGTTGTTAAACCGAAAGTGAAGTGAAACTACATTGGGACTTCAGTAGACGTTTATCAATATTTTTTATTATTAATTATACTTTTCATTATTTTTTGATACTGTATTATTGTTATTGTAGATTATTATCATAGTTCCAGCAAGCGAAATCAAAAACCATTTTTGAACGCTTTTTTATACTCTTGATTTAATTACTTCCAGAAAGATCAGGAAAGAAAGAAAGAAAAGAAAGAAAGATTTTTTCTAGATTGTATATCAAAATACAAGATTGAAGTTTTGAAAGATTACGAATTTTACAAATTTTTGGTGCAAGCTTATGCATTAGACAGACACACGAATTCGCGCATTTAGTCCTCTCTCTCAAAAAATTTCCCGTTTCAACATGGAAAGGCTGTGAATGTGTTGATTTGTAAGATAACTAGTATTTTTTGACGAACTATTTCTCTACAGAGCTCTCATTCTTGCAAGACATCGATCGGGCAATTATGCCTGGCACACATGGCTTTGCACATCTACGGTTGAGCTGTGCGCCATTTATGGATGTGTGAGAAGTCGCAAATGTTCTTCTTGTCCTTTCGTCCCGGAACGACGCGACGCATTCGGGGGCCTTTTTGCTGTCCGTCCGTCCACCTTTGGCAATTAGTTCCCGTCACTAATATTCCATGTGTCGTTCTCGTCGAGTGAGTGTTCTAGCCCCCGAGCATGCATCGCCGCCCCTGAGCCCAGGCCATGTGTGTATGTTTGCCCTATTAGGCATCGTTTGACAAAATATATATTGTTGATGCTGGCTGCTCTGTGTTATTTATGATTCAAGCATTAGCTCTGTTGGTCTCGTTGATCCCCATGCTTTTGCGAGTAAATCATTTGGAAACCCTCAATTTTCGCAAAAGCCTCTTTTACTCCCTTGAAAATCTCCACCCACTCTCAAAATCTCCTTCCTATTCAAAGCTTCTCTTCAGAGGTTCATTAACTTTAAGTCAATTATATGACATTGCTCTGAATGGAATGGAACCAAGCCTCATTGGCGATCTGAACTGAAATGGAAGTTCGCATCTAGGTGTTTTGCAATCGGCCTTCCATACCTGCTGGACTTTTTAAATTATTTTTTTTACTCTTACACTCAGGTTTGCCAACGTATTGATAATAAAATTACAAACCATTGTAGTTAGGTAAAATCGACCAAAGATTATAAGGCTAGTGTATATGTAACAGAGCCCACTATACTACGAGAAAAAATGAGGCAGCATCCATCAATCATGTTTCAAAGCTATAACTTCTCATTTCGAAATTTATCGGAGAAGTTATGAGCATTTCAGAGTCCAGATTGGCAATTATTTGACTGTAATTTAGCGTCATAATTTCTTTTTGACAAAAACCCTTTTTCTTCTTGATGGATGCGTTCCTTGCTTGTTTGTAAAATATCTAACACCCACACTTACGCTCTTCTAAGCTTAAACTCGGCAACTCTGCTCTAATATCAATTTTGTACAGGAAGATGAGTTATTTTAGCTATAGCCATCCTCCCTTATTGAAGGGTTCCGGAGATGGCATAGAAACAACACAATACTTCGTCTAAGGATAGGAACGAAACGAAGTTTTCAGTTTATAATTATAATTATGAACATTTTTATCTATTATTTGTTATATTGAAAAAATCGACTTTAGGAGTTTCGTAGAATCTTCTATTTCTTTAAGTTCCAAATTTTATGTTACTTTCAGAACGCTCATAACTTTTATGGAGTCATTTAGCAGATAAAAATTACAGATTTGAAGCCAGTGTTTGAAGCATTTTTGGTGAGTTACTTCTTTAAAATTCGTTAGTACAACTCTATATCCATTCCTTGTAAATTCTTCTACTCTCCTATTTTCTGGCTATCTCCCCTAGATCCACTGTGACATTCTTCCTGATCTAGTCATGTAATTAGATTTACCACACATCCTACTATAGCCTATATGCATAATGAGAACGCCTATTCGCCTCACTGGCTCACAAACAAAATGCAACGTAATTAGCGTTTTTCTGTCAGTCAAGCACTGCTTCGTTTGCTAGATATTAGCAATATCTTTCTCATGATTATAGCTTGTAGAAAAAACTAGAAAATAATGTTTGTCTCGTAACTTAGTAATATCTATTACTAATTGCTCGGAAATGACTTTGCGATATGTGCTCACGCATAGGTTACTGCAGGGTTGCTAGGCAGGTGATTTTTTACTGAATCTCAGCATTAATCATTATTTCAAGTTATAAAACTTACTCTACTGTCTGATAATTCTTTTAGCTTCAGCCTGTTTATCTAGACAAATCTTTTGTTTATTTCTTTGAAGATCGGCTTAGACGCTAAAGGCTTAGACACTGCAAAGTTCCTTTATGGAAATTGGCTCCTGCCAAATGAGATTTAGGTGCTATAGGTGGGGGAATCTGCCAAGAACTTTTACGCACAATCACCTCAAAGCTTTTCTTAGTTTTCCTCACATTTATTTCCACATTCGACACTAACGCTACGAATCTCGAGGACTGGAAGCTCACGCATTATCCTCTTTTCAATCTTCAGATTGCTTCGTATTGATATACCCAAGAGATTAAGTCTGATGTGTGTAAATGGAGTAGCTCTCTGATTGGGAATTGGTCTAGCTCGTAACATTCTGCCATCAGGCACAATCAGTAATTCGAATGTACTAATCTTTTTGAGTGAGCATGTGCTGGTACAAGAACCCTCATTTCTTGAGTTTTCAAAGTAGATGAGCCAATAAAGCCGTAAATTATCATTTTCGGAATTTTTTCGCAGTCACGAAATGGCGAGAAGAATTTTTTTGAGCGGTTATTCTTTGAGCACGGATCCAACTAGTCCAACTCCATAATTTTATTTGCAATTTTATTCGTTGAATGGGTTATTAGCATTGCATCTGGAGGTTTTACAGCAAACATTACTTTGTGTAGTCCTGCTCCCAAAAGGTACTAAAATTATGTTGGAACATGAGTTTTGCGAGTTTTCAAAAATCACAGCCTGCAATTGTGAATCCCTTTAATTATAGAAATTAGCGGGGAGAAGTAATTTGCTCTCCAGTCGTGCCCAAAG